GATTGTTTTTCTATTCCATGGTAATTTTTGACTTGTCGTTGCCATTTTGGATTCTGATACCTTTGTGTTATACGCGATCTGATTGGACGTCCAATTTGGCTCGTCCAATCAGATCGCGTATTTAAACACAGGTATCAGACTGCAAAATGGCTACGACAATTCAAAAATTACCGTGAAGCAGAAAAAATCGGAATGATAGTGATATTCGTTGGACTTGAATTAGATAAGCTGTGGAACCTTAGTTCTTTTTATTGATGTAAATGAATGATGCAGCGAAATCACGCCGGAATGCGCACCAGTCGCCGAAACGACGATTTCCCGTGTTCCACATTGTTTGGCAAATGAACATATAGTAGGTTTTTCACCTTTCTATAACTATAATTTTGATAGTGGAAAAATTATTTTTTTATATAATTTCATCGGTGGTTTTGTATTTGGTACCTTATAGTAAGCCTTAGAGTGTTGAATTATTTTTTTTAGGGTTGTAGTAGGGGTCCAGGGGCAGATAGGGGTGGGCTGTCCAAACATAGATAAAAACAGAATCCCTAAAGAAAGCCCAACACGGCAAAATTGAAAATGTTGCAGGCTCGGTTTGATTGAGCCTGTTCATGGACGGTACTGGAAAGTGCAAGATACCGTCCACGCCCCCTAGCACCGGCTTAAGCAGAATTCAACATTTAAACGTGAAATAGTAAAATTTTGAATTTAGAAACATCCGTAGATGTGTTCATACGGCGGTTATCATGGAACCTTCAATGTGACACTTCCGTGCCATTCCATGAAAAGCGGCGTATGGTCCCCAAGTAATAAAAAGCGTGTGCCCGAAACGAGAAAACAATGGGCGGAACTAAATAAAATGGAATTTTGAAAGGGGATCAGAGGTTATGAAGCCTGCGTATCACAGATAAGACGTCAAAAGACAAATTTAAAAAGCAGGCAACATATCCTAAGGGTGATTCAACATTATTCAAGTAGGAATATTGGAACCACCCAACTTGAAAAGGCCGAAAAGTTGAAACTAAAAATACCACAAGCACAACAATAATGTCGTGCTGAACACTGATACTGCCACATGTGTGTTATATCAGTCGGAAAGCGTCCATAAGTATGCTAAATTTAAAAAAGGTAAGTTTAATTTCAATATATCATTAAGTTTAGAGATTATCTTGTACTTTGGGATTATTTAGAATAAGGAGAAGTAATCCAGTAGATGGCGTTTGTATTATCAATACATGTATATAAGCAGGAGAAGGCGCATTTGAAATCACTTTTCGGCTTGGAAAGCGAAGGTAACACTTCAAGCTATCCAGGAAGATAAACCTTGGGCACAAACGTCCTATAAGTAAATCCCTTAAAAGATCGGCTTCTTTGGGAATACAAAGATAGGATATAATTGCTCTAGCTGCTGAACGTCGACCATACGGATACGTCCTATTTATCATAGAAGCTCAGCTTCTTTGATATTGGATGAACATCAGTTGTATATATTATTTTGGTGAGGTGAACGATCACCAATAAATATAGAAGCCCAGCTTCTATATGATGTTGGATGACTATAAGCTGTAAATATTGTTTGCTTTTCATCAACTGTTTTTGTTATATAGTTATTATATAGTTTGTTTCTTTTCCTTATTATATAGTTTGTTCACCATATAATCAGTAATCATTACTTTGTCCAATCAATCAATGGTAAGGTTAAATACTCTTACAATCAAAGCCCGCTCGGATATACGTTATAGCATATGCAATTTTAAGACATGACCCAGTGAACGACAGAGATACGACCGATATGACTTTTATGATATGACACAGTGAGCAACAGAGATACGACCAATATGACGTTATGACATTACAAATGAGCGCAACATATATAACCAATATGACTTTATGACATAACGCAGTGAGCAACACAGATACGGTCAATATGACTTTATGACATAACGCAGTGAGCAACACAGATACGGTCAATATGACTTTATGGCAACACAGATACGGTCAATATGACTTTATGACATGACAAAGAGAGCGACACTGATATGGTCAATATGAATTTTATGATATGACACAGTGAGCAACAAAGATACGGCCAATATGACTTTATGACATGACACAGCGGACGACACAGAAACAGCCAATATGACAAATATACATCTTAACACCAGAAATTATGATTGATGATAACATTTTATGTTCCTTTTTCCATATTTATGTCACAGGGCGAGACAAATGTGCAACCTGACCGGGACTCGAACCCGGAAACCCTCGGAATACCGTTCCGCGACTCTGCCGACTGAGCTATCCGGCCGCTTACACATCTTCTTCCCTATTCAGTGAACAGTTTTGAACCAAGACATATAATTGAGATTTCATTCCTGAGTAAAATCAATACAATTTGTTCTTTCACTTTACCAATTGAGCAAAAATATCTGCTTACTTTATTGTGCCCCAACTTAAGTGGCTGGCATTTAGATTTACCCTTGTCCGCCCGTCCTTCCGTCCGTCCGTTCACTTTTGTGTCGCACGTAACTCAAAAAGTATTTGACCTAGAGTCATGAAACTTTACAGGAATTGTGATCAGCATGAGTAGTTGTGCACCTGGGTATTTCCGTCTGTATATTTTTAGTATTAGAGTTATTGCCCTTGACTTAGTAAAATAATGCAATTTTCAACTTGTGTCGCATGTAACTCAAAAAGTATTTGACCTAGGGTCATGAAACTTTACAGGAATGTTGATCAGCATGTGTAGTTGTGCACCTGGGTATTTTCGTCTAGATATTTTTAGTATTTTAAGAGTTATTTCACTTGACTTAGTAAAATTTTGCAATTTTCAACTTGTGTCGCACGTAACTCATAAAGTATTTGACCTAGAGTCATGAAACTTTACAGGAATATTGATCAGCATGTGTAGTTTGCACCTGGATATTTTTATCTGGATATTTTTAGAGTTATTGCCCTTGACTTAGTAAAATTATGCAATTTTCAACTTGTGTCGCATGTAACTCAAAAAGTATTTGACCTAGAAACATGATACTTTACAGGAATGTTGATCAGCATGTGTAGTTGTGTACCTAGGTATTTTTATCTGGATATTTTTAGTATTTTTAGAGTTATTACCTTTGACTTAGTAACATTTTGCAATTTTCAACTTGTGTCGCATGTAACTCAAAAAGTATTTGACATAGAGTCATGCAACTTTACAGGAATGTTGATCAGCATGTGTAGTTGTGCACCGTGTATTTTCGTCTGGATTTATTTAGTATTTTTAGAGTTATTGCCTTTGACTTATAATTTTTTTGCATATTCAACTTGTGTCGCATGTAATTCAAAAAGTATTTGACCTAGAGTCATTAAACCTTACGGGAAGGTTGCTCAGCATATTTAGTTTTGCACCTGGGTTTCGCTTATGGATTTATCGAGTATTATTGAGTTATTTCTCTTGACTTAGTAAAAACCGTTTCATTATGTTGTTATTTGTTCCTTGAGTGCTTGAGTTAGAATCAACGAACTTTACAGGAATAATGATCAACATCACTAAATTACAGGAATAATGATTCACATCGCTGTGAAGCTATGCACCTGGGACTTTGCATGTGGATTTATCAGTTTTGTTAAAGTTATTGCCCTTGACTTACAGTAGTATAAATTTGCAATTTTCATTTTGTTCAAGCATAGCTCAAAAAGTATTTCACTTGTAGGCCAGAAAGTTTACAAGAATGTTGGTCAGCATGTGTACTTATGCACCTTGGGCTTTGCTTGTGGATTTATTCAGTATTTGTAAAGTTCTTGCCCTTTACTTAGTAAAAGATTTCTAGAATCATAAGATTGACAGAACAGTGGCGCGGTGGGGGCACCCATGTCCTATGGACACATTTGTAGTTTTTTTTGTTTTTTGGGACATTTTTTGATTTTGTTTTGCATACATATTTTTTTTAGTTTTACATACATATTTAATTTTAGTTTTTCGTACATATTGTTTTTAGTTTTGTTTACATATTTATTTAAGTTTTGCAAACATATTTTATTTTTTTATTTTAGTTTTGCATACATATTTTATTTTTGTTTTTTGTACATATTTTTACATGACGCCGTTTGCAAAGTAGAGATTTGGATAGTTACGCCATTTGTAAAACACAATTGCCATCTGTGAATTACAGTATTTTATTTGCAAACACCATTTGCAAATACCAATATTTTTCAAAATTTGGAGGCATCAAAAAAAAAAAAAAAAAAAAAAAAAAAAAAAAGTTTTTAAAATATATATAAGGACCTATTTTAGATCTTTCATTGTGCATTATTGTCATACACCAGTCATTTTTAACCACCTCCCTCGCCCCGGCGGAGTGCGGGTTAAAAAAAATCGTGTTTTGACGTTTGCGCTGTTCCGGGGCATAAGGCAGGAATGTTATTATCTGAGTATCCCCCGCTGGGCGAATATTGTACCAGAGGTCGGCTTGGTTTAAAGTCAATGCCCCCCCCCCCCGATATTCTCGGGTTGAGAGTGTGGGGTTGAGTGGTGCATATTCATGGAATAATAACTGATCACCAATCTGAATCAACAGCCCTTTCCAGATAGACACTAATGTAATAGTATATAATAATAAAAAAAACAATGATGATTATGTAAAATACATAATTATTATTTAAAAAGTGGGCCGAAATTTGCAAATGTCACTTTTATGCCACCGTAGTTAGATTACCCAACGCGAATATATACCTTACAGCATTATTGTAAAATGAATACATTGCATCAACTTTTTCGCGCAAAGCCAGCAAAAATGCTTAAAACATACATAAAATTCTTATTAAAATAATAGTTTAACTTATGGTATTGAGGTTTTATTTTTGTTGTTGTTGAAACTGTAGTTGGGGCGCTGGTTGAGCAAGCGCCCTCCCCTATGATTAATGTTTCTTTAAATAGTACACTGTACAACGTGATATTTTTAGCTGTGAAATTCCAAAAGCTGTCTCTATTTATAGTCATATTGGGTTTCAGATTTGAATCACCAAAAAGATATTTCTACTTGATGTGTTAATAATAGGATTTTTTTTTAGTTACGCGTTGCTCCTCAGTGAAAAAGTGAACATACGCTTGAAAAACAGGAATTTTCTGAACAATATACTTTTTTGCAAATAAATCTACTAACACTTAATTTTCTATGTCTACAAATGTAAACCTATGCTGAAAATGGGTTAACGGATAATAAACTATTCTGAACACCTCGTTAAAGAAATGATCATTTTCAAGACAGACTAATTCATTGAACTAGTGTTTTACTTTTCAGTTAAACAATAATGAGAAATGGAAATCATTGTTTAAAAAGGTAAAATCTACTTTATCATATTTCTCGTAGGATTTGATAAATTTATATCGTTAAAATTTATATTTGATGCTTTGCTTTTCAATAATTTTATAAACACGTTTCATGTCTTTGTTCATAAAATGCTTATATTAGCTTAGCAAACAGCCATATATTAAATCGCTTACTTAATATTTTACCTATTTATATATTGTAATAATTTTAAGGTGATTTTAATCATTACGCAACTTTTAGCCTGATAGAGTTTAAAATTATATGTCTCAGGCTTGTAAATGTTATTTTACTATTAAATTGACTGCTATTGTTTTCTCTTATATACTTTGACTTTATTTATTTGTTAATGTCATCTCTATTTCATCTTACAAGTAATATTCATTTGACTATTTTTAGAAATGAATCTTTAAATAGTGTATCATGTGATATATTTAGTTATAAAATTCCCATAGTTGTTTCTATTTACAGTCAAAATGGTTTTCTACTTTTCACTAAATAATTGCTTATGAATCGTTAAAATCAGACCATTATCTCAGCACTACAAAGCGAAAGGTACTAGAGCGTTAGTTAGGATATATTTAAATGAGAAAGTTCTTAAATACTTCTTTTGTTGCCTTGTTAAACTCATTGGATTATTATTCCTTTAATTTCACCGTAACGTATAACGTACTTATTTTACAAAACCGGAAAAGGGTTAACGTTATAGCATAATGAAATACAAATTAAATAGAGATTAGTGAAAGTCTAATTTTATCAACTGTAGTATGAAAAAGGTTTAAAATTAATTCATTTAATCTATACATATTGCTTTATCATTGATTGCTTTATCTTTTGGAAAGAAAGATTATAATACTGTAAATATCGAAATTTAATTTTGTAAGGTGTTTCAATTTAAAATTCCATTAAATGCAATAATGTGGACAAATATGTGATCTCTCGGAAGCATTAATCACAATAATACTGTGAAATATCGAAATTTAATTTCATGAGGTATTCCAATTCATAATGCCATTAAATGCAATAAGTTTAAAATTATATTTAAATACACATAAAAAAGTAGATAAAAATAAAATTTATTAATAATTATGCTAATAAAATTAAAACAGTAATGTCTAGACATTCATCATATGCTAAATTACCTTTTAATGTCATTGTTGGTACTGTTGAAAGTAAATTAATTGTTTATCGTTTGCATTAAGAGATTTTGATACAGAGCACTTTCTTTCATTTTAGGTCGTTTTTTTTTCGGAGAAAAAAGTGAGCCATTGCTATAGTAAGGGTGTCGTTTCCGTTGCTGTTAAACATTGGTCTTATTTTATTATTATTTCTGAATGGATTGTCTTCATACTTGGCATAATAGCCCTTTGGACAAGACCTTGACTGAACTTGACGTTGGCTAATTGAAGACCTGGACCTTCAATGATTTATCAGATGTAAAACTTACTTTATTGTTCAATATGTCTGCTTCTGTTTTGCACTTAAATTATAGACATTAAATATACTATGACCTGTTATGTTAATCAATGTGTTCTCTTTTTTCCTTTCTTTTTAAGCTAAAAAGAACTCCAAATTTATCTTTCTGTACATGTTAATTGTTGGATTCTTTTAGCAATGTGTCCTTCAATAATGTTTTGTGTGATATATTTAGCTGTAAATTCCCATAGCTGTTTATATTTACAAAAAACAAGGTTTTCAATTTTCACTAAATTATTGTTAAGACAATAGGATAATACTTTATGTATTTATTACAGAAGCCATATCATGTTTGTTTGCGAAACAAAGCAAGAAAGACTTTTTACATTCGTGAAGCAGATGAGTGTTGAATACCAATACTATTATTTTAGTGCTGCTTTTTCGCAATTTCGTGTCCTATAGTATAAAATTGTTTATCCCTAAACAGTAACCATATGTAAAAAATTCTGGAAGCAAGTGATCCCTCGGAATCATTAATCACAACAAAATTACATAAGAATTGCAGACTCGATTTGATTGAGTCTGTACATGAGAGATAATGAATACGTGCAACATCCCTCACGTCCCCCTAGCACCGGCTTGAGCGGTACTCAATTCTCAACACTTAATAATGCTGGCATCAATGATCCCGAAGGACCAGAAAATATAACAACACTGAAGTGAAGTACGGGGCAACTTTTTACAGCTGCCACACAGCACTTGACACCTGCTGTTGTGAAGTACAAAATTCTGGAAGCAAGTGAAAATCAAAGATTTTCTATGATTACAATACCTTGCAGGCGCAGGTCATATGGGAGTCGGAAATTTTCTAATGCAAGGGCTAATGAGGTGTGTTTATTTTACGACCAGCCCTGCCTAGATTTCTGGTATAATTTACTCTTTTGTTTCTATGTACCGTGAACTTAAACAAGATATGCCCACGGGCAGAATGTCGAGCCCGCTTGTCTTACCTATAAGCTTCAGATCAAGGAGAAAAATGCATACATAGGTGAGTTGTATGCAACACATCCTTTTAATACTCAAGGCAAAATCTTGACACTGCGTCATTTTAGGTGACCTTGACCTCTGACCCCATGCTCTGGTTCATGTGCGTGACACGAAGTCTCAACTCAACATGGAGTTATTTTGTTATTTGTCCATCGACCCCTAAGCGTGGCATTGACTATTGCCACAGACACTTTACTTTTAGGTGCGACACTCCGCCTTATTATGGAGAATATTTGTCCCCGAGTTTAAAATCCCCTCATGCATGTAGAAGTTATCTCCGGACACGGGTTTTGCGCTGACCTCCAAGTGTGACCTTTACCTTTGAAGGGCGGACCTTTGTTTTGTGTCCGACACACCACCCAATCATAAATATTTGTACCAAACTATTTTATAATCCTTTAAAGAATGAGCAATATTATAGACCGGTATTGGATATATGATGATAGGAAAATGACAGTTCTGCCCCAGTGAGGGATGAGGGAAAGACTATTTTTAGAAATGTGGAATTCCACGTATTGCTTTATTTAGAACTGGTTTTTTTTACCTGCATAATGCTATTTTAAGACTAACAAGTTTGAACATGTCTACGCTTAAAAAGTCAACAGGGACGATAAAGAAATACAAAATAGCTTATGTTTCATTTAGCGTGAAGCGGCACGCGCCGTCACTATGAGAAAGCTGTTAAAAAACATTTCATTACCTGATTTATACTAAACAGCTTGTATCTTTATTAACTGTCATTTCATGAAAATGAGTTGGAAAGATCACTTGCAAAATATTTACTTTGACTTGCATAGCCCAATAAGTTATGCAGGACCTGAAAAAATGAAGAAGGAGGGTAAATTCAAAGTCGGTATTCACGCTATTCGACAGTGGTTACAGAATATAGATGCTTACATTTTGCAGAGACCACTGCGTTATAAATTTAAGACTAGAAAAGTAATATCACAAGGCATAGATTTTCTCTGGGATATTGACTTGGCAGATGTTTCTAGTCTGGCAAAAGAAAATGACCAAACCAAATACCTGTTTGTCGCCATAGACGTGTTCTCTCGCTGTTTATGAGCTGTGCCATTGAAGAGTAAACAGCTCGGTTCTATAATAGACGGATTTAGAGAATTACTGAAGACCAAAAGAAGTGAGAATGGAAAAACAATTGGGTGAAGTCATATCTCGATAACCAAGAAATCCATCACAAGTGACTCGGAATATTACTCACGCTAATTATGCCGAAATAATGATACGCACTTTGAATGTGTTGATGTTTAGATATTTCACTAATAAACGAACTTCTCATTATCTTGTCATTAATTTTTACCGAACATAGTAAAGAATTACATTCAAGACCGCATTCTTCTTTGGACGGGAAATCTCCCAATGAAATTACTGCAAAGAATGAAGTGATCATATGGAAAATTATGTGGATTCTTTGAAACTGCAGAGTATCAAAAGGAAACATCAGTAATCTAAGCCATTCAAATTCAAAGTCGGTGACTTTGTTAGAATTTCTAGTAACAGACGCACATTTCAGCGAGATTACCAGCAAAAGTGGACGGAAGAAATTTTCATTATAAGAAGGAAATATCTACGTCAAGGTATAGCCATATACAAAAAAGTGGATTTTGATGGAAATCTGTGGAGGGGACCTTCTATTCCAGTGAATTACAAAAGGTGCAGAAGAGTCGCAATGATCTTTTCAAGGTTGAAAGAGTGTTAAAACGCTGGAGGAGAAATGGAGTTAGTAAGTTGTTTGTGAAATGGTTGGGATACTCCAAGAAATTTAACTAGTAGATAAAAGACAGTCACGTACAAGATATCTAAAACCACTACATGTATATGTAATAGCGGTGTATTGTCATCTTATTCATTTCACTCTGAGCTGTGGACCTGTCAACATCGTCAAAATGACTAACCAGTGGTATTTATGCCGTAAAAACTATATCTTGGAACAGGACTTGAAAAGACATTTCAAAACTAAATATCCGAAGAAAGAGTATATCTACTCCCCTTGTAATTGTACATACTCAGCAGTGCTTAGTTCGAATTTTAGTTTACTATCAAATGTCCATCCCCTCATCCCTTTCAAAATTTTGAAAAGCGTTGTGTAGGTCTTGAAATGCCCCAGCGATTTGTTGTTCTATTTGCGACATATGAGTTTGCCAAAAGTTGATGAACGAAAGACGGGCTCTGCGTAAATTTGGGTCATTATTATTATTACTTCCTAAACTAAAGAACCTTTCAGGAAGTGGACGATGGCACCATTTACATTCGCAGCCATGTTGTCCACAATTTTCAGAAAAGGTATTACCAGGTAACAATACCTTCTTTTGCATTATTTCACTACATCATCTACCTTTTTAAAATTCTTTTCAGCTAATATCGGCGGTTGTTCATTTTCAGTACATAGCTTCCTTTTTCTAGATCGTGTTCGTTCTCCCTGACTGTCGTAGTTTGGTGCAATGTTTCATGCGTGCTGCTGCGTGTGACTTTAAGTTGTACTGTTGTTGTAATTTCTTCTAGCAGTGAGCACAGACTATGTGATTATTGTT